AAACTTGTGGTTTAAAACAACAGAAAATGGGATCCTATAATAATAGTAAGGGTGAGGCAATCTGAGCTGTAAGTGTTGCTACCTGAACTATAATTAAGACACCAATTCCCTGCGATAGAAAGCTGTTCTTCTCTCTAGCATTTGTACCAGCTTCCAAATAGGTTTAGAGAACAAATTAGAGTCTTGTTGCCCCAGCACCTCACACATTGCACAGTCACTTAAACATGCATTACTAGTAGGTATAATTTCCCCCCCACTTTGCACAGGTATAACTGATTCCACAAGTGGGATGTAGTGAAGGATCACACCCACTGTGCTGATTAAATCAACTAAGTGCAATGTACATCTCCCCCTGGCTACACTTCCTGGCACAACTAATTCCTTCTATTGAACCTTTGGGAATTAGGCCAGGACGTACGCACAGATGGTTCCTCAAATCAGGAATTCACTTCCCCTTATGTCTAACAGAGCCAGAATCTGAGTACTCAAATTGCTGTATTACACAAGTATATGGAAAGAAGAGATTCAAGTTCCCACTCCAAGCATTGAGTCTGTGTATATTAGAATGGTATAGGACTGTTTGAAAAAAAATCCTCTTGTAAGGGCTCACAGAAGTCACGATCATCTGACACTGATGGAAAATTGATCTCCATTTCAAAATATCTCTTGCTCTATAGATGTGAATTTAAGCCCACACACTTTCTCTATATGTAACAAGGATTTTTGCCACCAACAGAAATCCCTATTTCCAATTAGAAGTAGCATCATGAAGAGGCTGTGCCTGAAGTCAGAATCCTGTTTCATGTCTCCTGCTCTTCAGAAAATAAATAACAGGAATATGCACTTAGTAGAAAATGTGATGAGTATTTGTACATGAATATAAGCATGATCTGAAGAACACTTTCCCAAGAGACTGCATTCTGGTTAAAAATTCAAATACATGTTGCTGAAGAAACGGTTGAACTGATTATCATATCTGTAGACTACATCTAGCTATGTATATATTCTGACATAGAGGAATGGAAGATATATACATATTCATAGGGTGGAGGGGAGAAAGAAATGATGTGTAAATATATTAAGAATGACTTGTGCTCTTCAATGTAAGAGGATTATTTTTGCCAGAGAAATACTGTATTTCTTTACAAGTAAAAAACACTAGGTGTTTTCTAAACATATATAGTAATGTATATAAACCATAGAAAGAGTAGGACTGTAATATCTCTAGTGAAAGGCTAAAATAATCCAATAATTATCTAATTATAGTGCCAAATGTTAAGTATGTAGGTATGCTGTGTCGCAGAGAAGCTGCCAGGTTACATTATCATTCATTTCCAAAAAAGTCCAAAAGTATATCAGTCTTCCCAACAGCCATCTGGCAGTCTGAGAATCTCTGTAGCTGCAGTATGCAAGATTGGATAGACAAGAATCAGAGTTCAGGGAACAAGGATGAGGTAATAATGAAAAAAAAATAACAATTTACCAAGTGAGAACTAGTGAATAACACTGTGCTAAGTATCAATTCTGGTCATTTTTTACTAAAATAGTGTCTTAGCTTGACAGCTTCATGCAGGCATCACACCAGGAGTGAAAACCACCTCAGGCACAGAGATAATCTGAAAATAACAAAGTGTTTAAGCTGGCCCCAGCTGAAGAGCAGAGAAGACCATGAATAAAGTCAGAAATAAAACAAATATGGATAAAAACAGCACTGAGGCAAGAATCCATTTTAAGAGGCTATGGTTTTAAGTCATGAAAAGTGGGATTAAAGCAAAATGCTGCCAAGTCCATGTCTCACAGAGGACTTAATATGCTTTACCTTTTGGATGTACATCTTACGACAACTGGTATTAGGTCCTAAATGGCACATGTTTGGTCTTGCATTACTTTGTATGCTTCTATAGCATTACGTATTTGATTATTTCCAGACTACTTGCCTTATTTTAAACCACACATCTCGAAGTCCTGCTTCTACACCGTTACATTGTGCACATTGCACCATTACATATAAAGGCAACATTTAGCATCATGCCTCTTCGGGGCAATCTTGTTTTCCTTACTGCTTTATTTATAATTGTTCATATTACTCAAAGGCTGGAGGAAATATTCAACACATTACAGAATTATTGGCTTGCCTTGTCACACAGCCTTTCCTGTCATATACTGGTAAAAAATCATCTCTACATCCCACTTCCCAAAATCAGAACAAAGCAAGATAAGGAAAAATTATTTATCTTTGTGGTTTTAATGTTATTCCTTTCTCTAGTAAGATTCTCTGAAGTAGTAGTATTTACTCCACAGCACAACATTTATAGCACCAGTAGGCTTTCACATTAGAAAGCAACATGTAATTTAAAAGAATTTACATATACTTAAATAGTTCTTCAGACTGGAAATCTCCATGCTGCTGGGCAAGTTATATCGGATATTCAAGTCCTGACTTCCTCTGCTTTAACTGCTCGGTTTGTAAAAACCTTAAAGCTTGTTAAGTATATAGGGGTTTATTTAGTTGAGCTTTCTGTAGAATGTTTCAGATTATACAAGGTATGAAATAAGGTCTGCCAAAACAGTGCTGTGGGCTCTGCTACAAGTATCAGAAACTGACAAAAAGAATTTCCATTAAATATTGTTCTGGAGTGGCTGGAATTTTTTATGTACAGATGCACTAAGAAAGACAGGCTTTGCATGATGAAAAGTCCAATAACATTTATGGGAAATGAGCATTATCTAGAACAATTACATCACTTTCTAATTTTGAGAACACACTAGCAGAAATATGCTATTTCTAAATTGGTTAAGGTCAGTATTAAAAAAAAAAAAAAAAAAAAAAAAAAAAAAAAAAAAAAAAAAGCAGAAGGAATTGTGTTAAATTATATATAAATTTCTTCCACTTGGATTGTCTCCAGTAGCACAAGCTTTCTGTTTGGGATACTGCTGTCGCTCTGTGTAAATGGACTGTCCTCAGAGCATGTCATTGAGATGACAGAGATTTCGAAGTAATAACTCATTGCTGTGGAATGGACCAAGACCTTCACACGTTAGTTAGCATTTTAAAACCTGGTATGCATTACATTGTTGACAAAATATGTGTTAAATTTAAATAAATGCGTAAATTGTAAAAATATCAGTACAATAGTTCACCATTTTTCACCAAAAAAAAAAAAAAAACGACTTCCATCAAAATAAAAATCTAAATAAATCTCACTGGAGACCTGATAATCTCCACCAGGTTTCCTAGGGAAAACAGTGAAATAGTATTTGTGAAAATCACCTAAAAAACTGAAAGATTGGAGTCGCTTCCTCTCCCTGATATAAACGCATTTTTGTGTGTTATTCACACCACTTGGTGCTCTTGCACACATGGTTATTGAAGAAGGAGTCTCTGTATGAAGTCTCTGCAGCACACCCCAGTCTGGGTCAGATGGATTTACTGTTCATTTTTTCAGTACTGGTGCCGAGTTGTGGATTTGGCTCTAACACCTTTGAGCAGTAGTGCTGGCTTCTGTACTTAACTGCGATATTTTTTGTTCTTTTGAGTAAAAGAACCTACAAAGCAAGAGTATAAAACCAACAAAACAGGCAAACAGACGTGCCCAACTACAGGAGAAACATTATGGGCAAAATATATGAAAGAAGTAGTTAGCTCAGATCTGATATATCTGCTCAGCTACTCCCCAGGATGGTCTACTGCAGCTGGAACTTAAAAAGAAGCAAGAGCAGAGAGAAAACAACCAAATTTTGTTTCAATTCTGAGCTAATCTTTTCTAACTTGTTATGTTGTCACATGCTTTTGGCTTTATATTTCCCATCTCTTCTTTCTGGTAATTTGTTGATTCACTAAAGCAATACAGTAACACTAAACTTGAAGACAGCCTTTTCTCTGAGACTGTTCACTTTGAAGTAACACAAGTACTGCTTTAAGTGATCTCTACAATAATACAGAAGAGGAAAATAGGAAAAAAAATAAGTGGTTTTGAAAAACCTATGTTAAGAAATTGGTTGCCCAAATTGATAAAATAGACACTTTCCAAGAAGTCAGTAGATGTACCACAGAGATGAAGAATGAGACAGGCTCCAGTTCTTGTGCTCCTGGTCAATGTCTTGCTTAGCGCAATGACACAAACATACAAGACAAGTTTATCTGTGGATTGAGGGGATAATCAGATGACATCTACTTGTTAAAACTGGTTGCTCATGCTCAACCAGATCTTGTAAATCCCAAGTACATAAGTTGCTTTTTAAAGTTTCTAGTTTCCTTATAATGCAGTGAAATTAAAAACCAATTAATCCCTTGTAAACAGACATTCATATTGGAGGGAAAAAATAACAACAACAAAAAAAAAAGCCACACCAGCTGAAAAATTAACTTTGAAGCTTCTTCTGTGACTAAGTTCAAAGGTGGGCAAATTAACATTTTCATTACATCTGAAAACAGAACTTTCTCTGTTAAGGAGCAGTACTGATCTAAACAGAATGCATATTAGCCATAGAGTCTTTTGGGTATCTCCGGGAAAGCATCTCACTCTGGATGTGCAAACCTTCTGTTTGAGTTTGGGAATTATCTCTAGACCGCATTTCATAGAATTGCAATGAAGTCTTTTGCAGCCTGGGGTTTTGCAGTTCTTTTGCAATCAAGATTTCCCAGAAGTGCTGTAATCTGAAGCAAAGATGAGATCCAGGGGTTTTTTTTGTTTTGTTTTTTGGTTTTTTTTTTAGCTTAGAAGAAATACATCAAAATCCAGAGCTTTGCTTTATTCCTGCATCCTGAAGAGAAATATCTATACATCTGCAAGATGTGATGAATGAAGTGGTAAATTAGAAGTCTGCTGTGCTATGCAAAAGAGATTACCCTTGAAATCTGAAGTTCAAGCTACATAAGTGAACACGCATGGCTTTCATATATACTACAGACATAGAATAGGAAAGTCCTAGCCAACATCTAGAAATTCTACGAACTTATTTAACATATTATTCTACTTCAGTATCTTTTTATTTTACAGGAGACTATGTAGTCATGTCTGTTTACTTTAACCTGAGCAGGAGAATGGGTTATTTCACTATTCAGACCTACATTCCCTGCACACTTATTGTTGTGTTGTCCTGGGTCTCCTTCTGGATTAACAAGGATGCAGTTCCAGCCAGAACATCACTGGGTGAGTTGCTTTACTTTCCTGCTTTCATTCAGCATTATGATGTTAAACTGACACCAGTTTCTAAATGCAAGAGGGGAGAATTTAATACAAGTTCCTCCTGTTTAGAATAATGTAATCACTTCCAAGGAGTAACAGCACTTAGACTATATTTGTCTCTCTTCCATTTTACCATGTCACAACCTAACTAGGAGTACTGACGATCATCTCCAAAAGCTTTTGCATCTTTTCTGATTACCTTTTTTGATTTTTTTTTTTCTTTTTTTAAACCTGTGCTACTAAGAATCATTTTAGTTTTTCCTTCTGCATTTTTATTTCCTCAAGAACTACAGAATAGAGCACTGCAGGGAGGGTCAGCATTTTCATTACAGATTTCCCTTGAAAGAAATACAGGAATAGAGGACCAACAGCCCCAACGCATAATGCTTTAAGTGTTTTATTGCTTTTTTTTCACTCTCTGAAACAAGAAAATGTGCCTTAAAGTATAAAGTGAATAAAGGCATTCAGCTGTTATTTTTGTTTTTGCTTAGACATACAATGCAGACTTGTCTCTCTGCTGAAAATTTGGCTATTCATATCTCTAAGATAAAATCAGTGGTATGAAATTTGCCATAAAAATATGATGAATTTTAACCATTCTGATGCATTTTTAATGTTATTTACATCACAGGACAGGCAATAATGTTCTGAAAGGAGAAGGGAAGGTGAGGCCTGTCCTAATAATTTTTAGTTATGAGCTACAGTCACTTCTGAAAACCAGAGGAGGCACTACTGAGAGAAATCTGACCTCACAGCGTGACAATTGTAAACAGTCCTGAGAGACTCTCTTCCAGCTTTATTTGCAAGAAATCACTTAAATAAGCAGCAACAGAGAATTAGTGTGGAAATTTGGGGCTAGTATCATTTGCTTACAACTAGAATGCATTAAAAATAAGAGAAAGGAAACAAAGTCTCGTTTACACAGTACACATACAAATAAATACACTTTTTGATCTGAATTTTCATCTGGATTACAGGCTTCCTTAAGAATTTTCATAATTTCTAAATCATATAATGGCTGTAAATACATTTCTTACTGGCATTGTTGTCATTACTGATATGAATTCCATAAATGACACATGCTGGACAGCATGGAAAGTTTTATATTAGAGCCTTTTATATTATATTTTTATTATATTATTTATAATACATAATAAATAGATGAGAATATATTATTTATAATATATAATATAAATTATAATTATATTTATATTTAGAGCCTTTTATATTAGCCTTTGGAGTACTTCAAAGAATGGATTAAAGTGACAGGTATATTTTTTTCTCCACCTGACCTCTCACTCTGTTAGAAAAAGTTCTTTTCTCTCTATCAGTTTCGGGATTCAAGAACATAAACCCTAAAAACTGCATTTCTCAATTAGAAATGAAAAATGGATACCTAAAAGCAAAACTATAAAGCAACAAAGCTGAATTCAATACATTTTTTAAAATTAGAATCCATCTGCAGGGCAACACTTGCAATGACTATGCAAAAATGATTCACACTCCCTATTCATCCTTGAAGCTCCCACTGAATCCACATTTCACTGCTTGGGATGGGTTGATATTTTTGCTCTCTATCAGAACTGCTGGCATCCTTCAGAAACAGTCAGAGAGAGAAATGGCAGCATGGCTTTGTTACATGAAGTTATAACATTTCTGATGTTTTCTATCTGTCTACCAGGTATTACAACTGTCCTGACAATGACCACCCTAAGTACGATTGCTCGTAAATCTCTTCCAAAAGTCTCTTACGTGACAGCAATGGATCTTTTTGTGTCAGTTTGCTTTATTTTTGTTTTCTCTGCACTGGTGGAATACGGAACTTTGCACTACTTTGTCAGCAACAGAAAGCCAAGCAAGGATAAAGACAAAAAGAAGAAAAATCCAGTATGTATCTTTTTACCAGTGAGGTATAAAATTAAATTACATTATCTGAAGGAATACTTATCTTCTCTCTATGCCTGTACTCTCATTTGAGCATATCTACACTTCTGTATTAATAGGAATAAAATCATTTACCTCGATAATTAACAATGCGTATATCACAGTTGTCTAGACAGCAGAGAAACAAATGTCTTAAAACAAGGACCCTTTTTGCCAAATTCTTCTACAAATAACTATCAATGAAATTGTTATTTATGTTATAGATAGAGCTTTTACTATGACCGCCATGGAAGAACTCTCAGTGTCTCTTTCTTATCTTTAGCAATATTCTCTGCCATTAACTTACATATGTATTATTGGCATGATTCTGCTTTTTGTAACGTTAAGTTCAAACTATGGACTGTGCTTTCTTTCTAATTCCCCCGTAAGCACCCGTTTCCTTTTTATTGTTTCCTTATCTTCTTTTTCTTGTATTCTCTCTCTCCATTATGTATTTCACTCCTTCTGAAAGTGATTTATCAGCATTGGCAATGTTTCTTATTGATGCATGCTACACAATAATAAATAATGTATATAATAACCACAGTAAAAAGAAAAGACCCAGGAATACCCTTAGGAGATTTCTAAGAGTATGTTTAGGTAGGGAAAAAGTATTGTCTTATTTTGTCCAGGGCAGACTTCATGCCTTTTGCTGCTGATTGAGAAGTGTGTTGTCTAGAAACTGTGAGGTGAAAGGAATGAGTGTAGAATACTACAGGGAACAAAAGCAGCCTAATCTTCTTCAAAGAAAAATCAAATATGCATCTGCAAGATGTGACGAACGCAAGTGTTTTACATTAGTTAAGAATATTTTCAAATCCACTTCAGGCATGTAGGAAATAATGAAAGTGTCTGGATTTGCTCTGCTAAAGTCCTTAAGATATTCTCTGTTAGTTACACAGAAGCAAGAAAGCTTGCAAGAAAGAAAAAAAATAGTAAAATATATAAATTAAACTAGTTTTCATTACACTTACTTGTCATAATTTCAATTTTAAAGCTTGATGAGAAATACACTCTTAAAATTACAGATATACACTGCAGTGGATAAACAGCCAGCTAAACATCCGTAAGACTACACATTACTTTAGGTGTGGTGAGTTTGGATTTCATCATAGGTGTGTTTAGATCAAAAAGCACTTTTGGATGGTGGCACATATGTCTGTCTTAGGCTGAAATAAATGGCTGCTTATGTGAACCTGTGTCACAGACAATTAAGAGAGCAAAGATTAACTATCTCAGATCTATTTACCTTGCTTAGAGATTAGTTGCTCTTACACTTTTTCTCTGGGACAATCCTGGGACAAATAGAAATAACAATTCTCCAAATCTAAACCTAGAGTCTAGAAAACTTAAAAGTAGAGTCTTCAGTACTCTGTATTCAGGTAGCTTTTTCTAAAATTTGCTTTCATAAGCTCTGAATTGTCTCTTCTTTCAAAGCAGTTCAACATAAAAGACTGGAATACCTTGAGAATATGAAAAGATCTAAATGGAGTTTGATACACTTTGTCTTTGGTCTGGATGTAGTTACAAGTCAGAGATAAGATAAAGAAGTGTGGGTTTCATAGCATAGATTCTTGTTTAAATGGCTGTTACCCCAAACTTTCTATAAATTTAGTTCTTTTTGACTTACTATGTTTTAGAAACATATTTTTAATTTACATTATTTTTTTCTCTTTCTTTCTTTCTTTTTTTTTTTTTTCTTTTTTTTTTTTCTTTAATTTAAACCAAAACCCTCTGATTCTCTTTTCTGTCTACAAAATGAAAGCTTCTTCGGATGTTTTCCTTCAAGGTATAATGTTTTTTGGAATGGAAATTCACTGCATGCGACTGCTGAATTTAACGATTAGAGCATATATGAGAGTGCTGTTGTTTGTTTGTTTTCTTAAATTAGACATCTAAGCATTCTACTCTAGGTAACTTCCTAATTAAGTAGAATGTTTATGCTTCTCTAAATAATACGTAGAGTTGATTCAGCAGCCCAATTATTGATTCACTATGATTTTGAACTTACACTAAGTTCAAGAGTGACCAACATTATTGGATCGCATGAATTAAGAGAGTTTCTGTTCAAAGTATTTCTGCTTCTCTCTTTGTTAATTGCCCATGGGATCCAATGCCACCAGCTACACCAGAAACCGCAATACACCCTTTTAGAACTCAGATCTGATCCCTCAGTTTATGACTTAACTTCAAAATGATGAAACTAAATTTGTTTTGATATTGACATGAATGAAATTCAGTGTCATCATCGATCACTCAAATGCTGTTCCTTATGCAAAAAAAAGTCAGAGTTTTGAAAGGGTTTAAGATGCACATATTTTTTAATGCTGACACTTGACCAACACATTCTTAGCAAAATTAGCAAATATATCTAACTTTGTAATATGTCTAAATCTTATCTTCATTCAGAAATGCAGAGATTTTGTCCAAAACAAAGAACCATTGTAAAATGAAAGCCATTTACATGCTCATGGAATGAAACTATAATTATTTTACACAATCTGCAGCAAATTTTAAGACTCATCATAGTAATGTTCACCAGTGCTTAACTGCATTTTAGATGCATAGCTCATTCAAGTCACTCGAATAAATGTATGCCTGCCATATAAAGTTGGGTACATGATGAATCTTCTAGTTGGTGAACACTAATAGATGAACTGCATACATTCAAATTAACTATTGGAGAGTCTTACCAAGATTTTCATAACCTTACTAAAAATACTTTAATTGTGCCTTTTTTCCATATATATATATATTTGCACAAACCCCAGTAACACAAATAATCCTGCATTTCCAACTGATTATTTTCGTTCCACCCATGCTCAACACCCAAATTGCCTTCATATATCAGGCAGTTACGTGAAGTATAAAACAATTCCAAATATCATCAGTTCTGTTTCTTTTAACCTCTATGGTTTACTTAGTCTGGCATTAAAGCTAACTGTCCTCAGCTGTCAACTTGATCTTGATTTGTGCTGCTTTCCTGTAAAGTTAGTGTATGATGCAATTGATTTAAGCTGATTTTTAAGTTCAAGGTAATATTACCAGTCTCCCATGTACCCCTGTAGAACCATCATTCCCATGTTGACCATTAATTTCTGTTTCCTGTTGGTCTGGTGATAATAACAGAGTGTCTCCCTCCTGCCATCTTTTTCTTTTCTGCCATTCCATCCTAGGCACCCACAATTGACATCCGACCTCGATCAGCTACTATTCAAATGAACAATGCTACACACCTCCAAGAAAGGGACGAAGAATACGGGTATGAGTGTCTTGATGGCAAGGACTGTGCTAGTTTTTTTTGCTGCTTTGAGGATTGTCGAACAGGAGCATGGAGGCATGGAAGAATACATATCCGCATTGCCAAAATGGACTCCTATGCCCGCATCTTCTTCCCTACTGCCTTCTGTTTGTTTAACTTGGTGTATTGGGTATCATATCTTTACCTTTAAAAGCAGGAGATCAGTGATACAAGCCTTACTCACTGAATTTCTTAGAGAGATGGTTCCCAAAGTCCACTTGAAGTATTGAGGACGCGCTTTATAGTGGTATGAATTCTTTAGTGCCATAACCCAGTAAATACCAATTATATCATTTATCCAAAAATTGCCATCAGGTTATTGAGAATTAATTGTCCATTCAACATATTAAAATATCTCAAAAATATCATAAACAGGTAATACTCAGCTATACCTGATGGAATAAGGAGAATCAGGGCAGACAGGGCAAGGGGAGCATGGCAACATCACTCACTAGTAGGCGCTGCCATTTAAAACAGGAGTGACAGAGAGCAGAATTCCCAGGTAAAGTACTGTACAGTTTGTTAACATTGGCTATAATTATGTTATAGCTTTATTCTTTGTGGGCTTTTCTTTTTGGAAGAGTCATCTCTCACTTTGAATATGTATTAATAAGCTAGGAAAATAACTTTTACTCCCATCCAGATAAAAATAGACCTTTCCCTTTGCCATCCCTTTAAGAGCACATGTACAATTGCTGTAAATATTTCAATACCTTGTAGTACATAAAGTCTAGTGCATGCATCTTTTGGGGGCCAAAATAAATGAAACAAAGGTACCATAAAGTATTGTCTTTTATTTTGTGTCTCTGGCTGTGCTATTGTAATTGAAATGTGAATAAAAATCATATTTTTTTCCTTGGAAAATGTCCCCTTTCCCTCATGCATGGAAGATCCAAGCAGACAGCACTTTCATGTAAGACATTAGAGAAGCCTTAAGGATTCAAATAAATAACATGTAGACAAATCTGTATGGCCAATATAATAGCTCATAAAGTATACTGTACATGTCTGCTGCAGTTGTAGCCTTCATTTTCCATCGATAATGTTGCTATATTTCAAATGAATTTCCAGTAATTATACATTGCAAGATCAGCTTCTGAATTTAATCCACGTGTTTACATTGTTCTTCTCCCATGCTGAACTATTATATTCACACAAGGCTTTTTTTTCTTTTCTTTTCCCTGTCCTTTAGTCCAGTCCAAGAAATAGGTTTTATTCTAGATATTATTTTTACATAAGAACTTCTTTCTGAAATATTTGTATTGTGTATACGCATACAGTTCTCTGCCCATTCATGTCCTTGATCAGCAATAGTTGTTGCCAGTGCTGCTTTTCACTCCGTGAGTACCTTTACTAAAGAAACCCTTAAACCATAGCTAGCACACAGATATATATCCTTGAAAACAAAAGGGAACAAAGAGTGTCTTGGCTACTAAATCATATGTACGCAGTTTATGTGTATTCAGAACCTTCAGCCCTCCTGGGTGAATCTTGAAACCCACATACTCACTAGTTTTCAGCACCTAATGATGCTCAATTATGCAACCTTAAGCACATGTACATATGACTGACTTTTTTTTTTTTTTTTACTGTCAAAGATGTAAAATGTCAACTCCTGAGAAGTGGGTTTGCAGACTGAAATGGGAGATATTTAATTATCATTACAGAATTACTAATAGCTGAAATGGAGGAAAATGAAAGTTTTCCAATGTTTGTATAGTTTTGGAAATAAAAAAAATGTATAAAAAAGGAATAACTCAATCATCAATTGCTTCTTGTCCAATGTATTTGAAAATCTTTTAATAAAGGAATTGCACACACCTGTGGACTTTTTCCAATAAAACTGCTGCACTCAGCTCTAGAGTTTTCTTTTGATTAGTTTGTTAAAAGCACATGTCAAGGACTAGACTCGGCCCTAAGAAGTTCGATTCATCAGCTGTCTAAACATAAAGTGACAATAATCCTCGTAACCCTCTGCACTGTCTCATTTTGTAGTCAAATGGCCCACTCACATTTTCATGGTTTGAGAATAAGCATCTTCAAAAGTATTTTGAAGATTACCTTATTCTACAAAAAAAAAAAAAAAAAATCTCTGAGCTAGACTTATCATCATGAAAAGAGAGAACTTTTCCTTCTTTATTTTGAGCAGAGTATCTCTACTCCCTGAATGGGTTCCAATCATCTTTCACAAGGAAATGCATATCAGCTGCTGCCAGACAGATCGCTGGCTAATTATTTTCTGCAGTGGTCAGTGACTTAGCAGCTTTCTGTTAGCAGCTTTCATTTAATGAGTGGCAGGCGTCAAACATTTATGAATTCCATTTTTACCTGCATCTTTTCCCTTCTCCCAAATAGCCTGTACAAAGATCATTATGAGTCTCAGCCTAAATCAGACCTTTAATTCCCTCAGGCCAGGTGGATTTCAGTTAACATGCTTATATTGTTTTTCTGTCAAGGTCACTGAAATGAAGGATTCAGATGCTCAGAACCCATTAGCCTAGTTCAACCATCAGGCTGAACATGCCTATGGAAGGCCCACGGCACAACCAAATTGCAGGCACTAATGAGGATCGAACGATCAGGTTGCTTGTGCAGCAGCGTCTCCCCCCAGCAGGACAGCAGTTCAGCTCAAAAATCACAATACCCCCAATGAAATAAAGCACGGTATACAAAAGGAATCATGCCAACTCTGCAGCTCAGGATTTGAGTGACATTTTCTTACCATGTATCATTACTGAAAGGAGAGCAAACAAGCCCTTCCTCAACTGTAATCAAATACCTCAGGTTCTACCACTCCTATTTAGGAAATTTATAATTTCCTCCAAAAGCAGATGCACGAGTCTGAAAAAGACATTTCATGCTGAAACATGTAATTATAGCAGGGAAGTGCATGATGCAGTGCTGACTGAGCAAGAAGCACAATGTTCCTCGGAACAGCGACAGCACTAGCTATGCTGCCCAGAATCAAACAATGACTTTTGTATTGTGGTTAGACTGCCATCACAGCAAACAAAATAGTGAGAAAAATGCTCTTTTGGTGTAAGGAGGGCTGTTATTCAGAAGAAAACTGCTCAGAAAGCTAGCTATATAAATATTTGTACATATTTTTATATATAATATTTTTATATATTTTACATATATTAACCTTCCCTGCTGCATTTTAGGGAAGAAACACTCTCCTGACTCATCACATTTATTAAAATGCGTTCAAGTTCCTCATGTTGCAGACTGCTACAGCTGCTCCTGTATGTGTCTCTGGATGTTCGGATAGTTGTTAAAATTCAATCAAGTAGAGGTTAGCAGTGCAATTATTTATTTGCTATTTGCGTTGCAAGTATACCTAATGTCCCGATCAACACAACACATTTTTATCCCAGAAATCATGGCAAATATGCATATGAACATAGCACATCAACAGAGAATACACTCAAGGCTCAAAATTAAAAGTTTATAAAATTTATATAGTCTCCAGTTTGTATATAACTTCTATATAACCTCCTATCATCAAAACTTGGCAATCAGAAAAATATGAACAGAACATAAACAGTCAGTACTGAAGACTTTTAAGCCTCTGTGTCTCACAGCTGTAATTTTTCATTTTTACCATGTTTTTTACCATGAAATTAAAGCACGATAATGACACAAAAGCTGAAATCAATATTGAGCTAATGTGCTTTGCCCTGCCTGCAGCTGAGAACTGAATTAGAGAAAAAACAAAGAATTTGCTGAATTATGGAAAAATTGTGTGCATTAATGGACTAAATAGGGAATTGAAAGCAACAAGCTAAGAAGAGGAGATAAGAAGCAATATAATCCGCAGGAGAAAGTGATTGTCAAGGTCAGAACCACAAAAGGTGCAGGTCTCTGAACCAACTAGAGCACAGTTTGGGTTCAGGCTTTCACTACATTCGTGAGGAACCAGATTTTGATGACAATATAGGAGAAAGTTCATGTTATTTAGAAATGAATGAGGATGTCCAGTGTAAGGACTAAGGGAAAAAATGAAGCCTATTCATAGCAGCTGGAAGAAAAAAAAAAATGCCAGTTCTAAAATAAGCTGAGGGATACAAGGAAGATTGAATTCTTCCAAGTACGAACATGGAAAGAAAGATGCAAATATAAGACCCATCAAGATGAAACTTAATTAAAGCCCAGGGGAAAAAGTGACATTTTAAAATGCAAGTGTTGTCTTCCATAAAAAAATTCAATTGCTTTGTAAAGAGAATTTAATTAAATCTTATGTAAAACTTCACAGGTAAATCAGCTTATTAAACTCATGAGAGATCTATTGTTCCACTTATAAAAATTAAAAGCCAGTGCACTTCCCTTACTTATTTAGAAGAATCCTACAGATGATAAGATTTGGAATTCCTATTTACACATCACCATATTTTTCTTTTTAAATTCAAGATTTGAAATGGAAAATGTATCTGTTGAATATGAAAAAGAAAGTTCATGACCTTTAAAAGATGTTGAATAACAGCCATAAACTAAAAGCCTTGCTTACGTATCAGAAAGCCTCTCTGAATATTTCATTGAGGAATGCTGAATTAGTTCAGAAAAAGAAATATTAAAAAAGTTTGCCTTTCTTATAGGAAAAATAAAAGGCGCAGTATGATGAGACTGGATAAGATTTTCTCATTTAGACTTACATAAAATTCATACCCATTATCAGAATGAGAACAGGGAAAATAAAAAATGAAGAAACATGAGTATAAATTTAATTCAACTAGAATGAAATATATTAGAAATATTAATCTTCCCACCAGAGACATGGCTTGTGATACCAGCACACCGAAATCTGTTTCTGATGAGCTTCAAGTATTCCTGACATTCCTATTTTTCCCTAGAATTTTCAGGTATGTGCTATAAGCCTAATTATAAACTCAAATATTTTGGTTTGAGAAGCTTCACATTAAGTCACTCACAAAAAGAGAAAAAAAGAAAAAAAAAAAGCAGCACAACACACAATCTTTTCATTTCATTCTTGAAGACAGACAAGAGCACAGGAACATCTGTCAACTTTATACGTTTATAAGGTGCATATAAAAATAGTAGCTTAGGCCACAAACTCTTTGAAAGTTAGAGAGTCCTGCCAAAGAGAATTTTGCACGGTAGGAGACTTTGCTGTGTGAAAGAAAATGAAAATTGCAATTTTTGCTAAATAAATAAACCTGCACCCTTGTGTTGAAGAGACAATGCAAATTCAGAGATTTGCAAAATTCGTTTCAGTATTTCCCTTCAGCCTTAAAGCAAAAGATTGAACTTATAATTTCAACAATTCCAGATAGCTTTTCCTATTGTATAATCTCATAAAACTGTATGGATTTCACCACTTTTTCTGTTTCTGAGATTCTTCTCTTATTTATATTAGGGCTGCTAAACACACTGCCACAGTGAGATTAATATTTCTTTTATCACAGAAAAAAAGCATTTCTCTTTTACCCTCTCAGAACACTCACATGCACGTGATATCTTTCCTGCTTTATCTGACAGCTCTCGATCACAGAATCACAGAATTCTAGAGGCTGAAAGGAACCTCCAGAGATGACCGAGTCCAACCACCCCCCAAAGCAGGCTCCCTAGACCAGGTTGCACAGGTAGGCTTCCAGACGGGTCTTGAATATCTCCAGAGAAGGAGACTCCACAACCTCTGTGTACAGACCGTTCCAATGTTCCATCACCCTCACTGTGAAGAATCCTTTTTCTGTCCCACAAATCACTGTATTCACAGCTTCTTCCAGCTTTTTTTCTCTGACTCCACTTCAATTCTGAAAAATTCTGGTAATTTGCAAACTATCACTTTTAAAAAAAAGTATTGAGTTAATGCTTAATACTAAGAAGCTAGTAAGACAAACATATTGCTACATTCAAGCTTGCCTTCACTTTCCTTGATTTCAGCAGAGCTGATGCCAGCTAGTGATAAGGCTCAGTCTTTATAGACTGAATGTTGGTAGCCCAGAGAATACATTCATTTGCACAGCCTACAAACCATGGTGGCACATTGCTGTGGCCTAAGCTCCCCAGGGCTGTACTCTCCTCATACAGCAGCACTCCTGCAGTGTCAAGCACCTGGAGATGCCTTCTACATCCAGGTGCTCTAACTCCTTTAATACTTTTGGAAAACAAAGACAGTGGTCACACAGACACAGCTGTCATGACCTCCTTCCAAACCTGAGCGACACTTCATCAGAAGTTTTTGGCTGCCCTCAGTGGATCCTGTAATTTTGCTGCTCCCTCAGAAGTCTCCAGCAGTGCTTTTTGGAACAGTGTGCACCAAGTGAGCACACCCTGATGGCTCTTGGAGACTCACAGTGTCTGAGAATCACAGATATAGACTAGATCAGTGAGAGCTCACCTTGACAGAGGACATTGACAACTGAGAAAGAAGACTTAGGGAGCTCCCCTATTAGCAGTGAACTGATAACAGAACTTTTGTTGTTTGGCTTAAACACCTGGGATAGGGAAGAAATATCAGCTCTGCAGAATAGGAACGTTTACTGAGTGATACTACAGGCGCAGCTCAAGGGATGGCCATTTAGCTATTGAAGAGTTTTCCTCCCCTTATTTCTGAGAATAATTTTGTAAAGATACTATAAAAAAAATTTAAAAAATACAAAGATATGAAGGAAGGCTCTTGTTTTGATTTGTCAGAATAATTTAATTTCAAATTTAATATAAAGATAACCTAAGAATTTTTAGAAAGTTGAGGAAGTGGCAGGAGCATCTCTGTTGGTCCTGGTCCCATAGAGAAGGTCCATCAGAGCATTTGGACAGACAGGTAACAGGCAGCTTCTGTTACAGAACTGTATACGGAATGCATTATTTCAAAGTACAAACCTACTGAAAATTTCT